GAATCACCTGGGGTGCTTTTTAAAACTCCAAGATTCCCAACCAAATCACCACAATTCTAACTCAATAGATCTAGCAAAGGGCACCTAATGTTATGGGGGCGAATTTTTTCTCTCTATCCTTCTAGGTTCTTTTAGTGAATTTAATCATTAAATTAACATAAGGCAGATTAATAAGAGAAAGAACCAAATTTAATTGCATATGTATGTACAGGAAACTCACATACATGAGAGAATCAGAGACCCACATATGTGAGAGGTTCAGAGACAGAAAGAGCAAATGGGGTGTGTATGGCATCCTTAGATATGGAATGAGATAAGCTACCTGAAGCATCAGAGGGGAGAAAAGTCGTTTGCAGGACGGTAAGAGCAGATGTTCTGTAATTAGAAGTTTGCCCTGCCATGTAGACAGGTCTCTGGCAATCACTCTTATGGGCAAGGCTGGAGGGTCTCAACTGCCTTCAGCTCAAAATAACTCAACAGGCTAAAGCGGCTCATCTCGGGGAGGCCTGAGCTGAGCCCCTCAGTGTTTACTTGTTTCTTACTTTGACCTGTTTTAGTAAAGTGTGTTGTTCTTTTAAAAAAAAAATTTTTGTTTTTTGTTAAGTTAAAAATTTGACCTGTTACCAATCATTTTTTTTATTAAACTGGCCATATTTGAAAAACTAAATTGATGTGAACAAATTGATTTGTTTGCTTAGACCAGTGGTTCTTGATCCCAGGTTGCACCTCAGAGTCACCTGGGCAGCTTTCAGAAACCCTGATGCCCAGCCACCACCCCATCATCAATTACTCCAGCATCTCTGGGGATGGAGCTTGACATTAGTTTCTCAAAACTCCCCAGGTAAAGTCAATGTCAGCTCAGGCTGAGAATGACTGGGTGAGACCCAGGCTAAAGCACTGACCCTGCGAGACCTCCCAAAGCGGGGAAATAGTGCAGTCCTTGCCTAGCAAGGGTGTGGTCACAGAAGGAGGCTGGCACACCCATCTGCCGGTGCTCACAGCCAAGCTGCTGGGGTATTCTGAAAAATCCATAAACTGATACCCCCAGTCAGCCTCCTCAAAGAAGAATGCCCAGCATTGCCTCTGCTAGCTGCCAGGTAAGCAGTGCACCCAAAAGGTGCAAACAAGCAAGAAGCACTGTTCTCAGACTTGGGCAGTTTTTCCCCTTCCTCCCTCCCATCCCATCCCCTCCCATCCCCCCTCTCCTCTCCCTAACAGCTGACTCCCTCACATGTGAGTAAACAATTTGCATGCAAAATAAATGTCTCAGTCATTCCCTGACGCTGATTTCGTAGGCATATGTCTTGACCTTAATGTGATTTATTAACAGTAAGCCACCCAAAATGGACCACTGCTAATTGCCAGACACTGGGCTGAACTCATAGAGTCATTATCTCATTTATATTCTCATAACAAGCTTTGGGGTAAGCACTCTGACGCTTAGGGAGGCGTCAGGCTACACAGCCACCCTCTATTCTGCCCTGTCTGGGACGCTGCAAACCTCACTTCCCTGGCCAGGCTCTGCCAACAGGGGGTGCCAGGAGGAGGGAAGAGGGACTTGCCCCTTTCCTTTTGCTTCCTGCTCCTATTGACATCCCACCAGCAACAGCCTTTCACTTCAAAGATCTGGGCTCTTGCTCCACGAGGTCTCTCCTGGCAGCTTCTAGATTCCAGCTTCTTCTGTTCGTCTCCTCCTCTCCCCCGGGGGCAATAGCTGCTTCCCGCAGTTTTATACCGTGTTGCCTTTTAGGTCTTGTTGTCCTCCAGTACCAATTTAACCAATTCCCTATATTAGATTCTCTCTGGTAAAATAGCCAGTGGGTTTCTATTTTCCTCACTGATAAGGAAGTTAAATAAATTACGCAAGGACACACAGCCCCAAATGGCAGAACTGGGATTCAAAGCTAGCTCCATCTGACCCAGACTGCTTGCTCTCACCCACCCCAGTAAGAGCTGTTCTGTAGCTGGCTTGGAGCCTTTGCGAGAAAACAGACTTGTCTAGCTTTCTTCAAGAACACTTCTTCCAAAAAAAATAAAAACATATACTTATAACCATGAAAAATAACTTTAACGAAAAAAAATTACTACTGGCTTGTGAAATGGAAATTTTTATGATATACTATATTTTTCTGTGTGTAAGACGCCCCCATATATAAGACACCCCCCACTTTTCCGACCCCAAATTAAGAAATCAATATTTTAAACATAAAACAGAACACATTTTTATGTAGTAATTACCGCAGGTAATGTTTACATACCAGTGCTATGATATTATGTAGCATATCACTTTATTCAGCCTCTGATGCATCACTGTTCTCTCTTCATCACTATTAGTTCCAGTGATATCAATTTCTTCAACTTCTATTGTATCACTGCTGTCTTCTGAGTCACTGTCTATATGTGAGATCATCCTCATAAACTGATGGCATTTTCTGAGCTAACGTTGTTCGTGTTCTCATGGCCAACCCTTCTCTCTTCGTGAAATTGAAGCACCATTTTGCCTTTCCCGTAAAATCAACAATGTTCATTTCACTTGCAAACATTCTTGCCTGACACTGAATAAGCGTGGTTGACACACATACGCCACTCTGGCGCTGCTCCATAATCCAAGGCATAAGCCTCTGCTCCAAGTTTGCCCATTTTGCTGGTTTTCCTCTTAAGGCCTTCTTCTTTTTTAGCATCTTAAGGAGTTGTTCTTCCTGTTTTCTCCACTGTCTGATCATACACTCAGTGGGAGGAGGTCCAAATTGTCTCTCTGCGACTCTATTCCCATGCTCTTTTTCAGAGCTGATTACATTCAGTTTGAATTTTGCAGAGTAAGATCATTGCTTACCGGTATTTATCTTTTTAGTTTTTGACATCTTTATGGGCTCAGAACGCTCTGGTCCCTGTTGCATCTACGCACTCTCCACCTCCACCTCCAATTACAGCATCAGCTGATGTCAGTAACAATAAGGCTCATGATTGGAGGAAGCCTGTTTGACAAGGCATGGGCAGCTAAGCACTCATGTGGCTCCCTCCTTGGGGGACTTCTGTGTAGAAGATGCCCCTTGATTTTCAGTCTAATGATTTTAGAAAAAAATAGCGTCTTATATGTGGAAAAATACAGTATTCCAAAAGTGCTTGACAGTGAGTACTTTTAATGCTAATTAAAGTCCTGGATCCTTGAAATAAGAATATTTCATATGAGCTAGTCTAGTCATTAGAATGAAGTTAAATTACTTTAAAGGAGTTCATACTGATGTATGATGTGTAGTGTGTTCCACATTGTAGTTAGTGCCTACAGGGGAAATAGCTTTATGTGCAGCATGGTGTCCCGGAGAAGAGCTCAAGCTTTTGTATCATCTGGATCTGGACTGGGAACCCACTGATTGTGAGGCCTGAGTTAACATTGGCTAACAGAGAAGACACTTGGTGCACAGGCACACGACACCAGGATAGCCAAATGTTATTAGAAAGCATAAAAGGAACATTGAATACCATGTCCAGGCTGAGGAGATAAATTATTCTAGAGATGAGAACTCAAATTAATGAAGAGATTGAATGCCAGTCAAATTAAATTTTTGAGTTTTCTATAGTATTCAATATCATTTTTATTATAAAAATAGTATAAGAGCCTGACTGGTTTGGCTCAGTATTTTTAAATAATCAACCAAGATGATCCAGGAAAATGGACTGGAATGCGTGGTGTTCCTCAGGGCAGGATGGTTACCGGGCTCTTTGTCCAGTGGAGTTGAAGAATAAAACCACGGACGAAAGATGGTATAGCAAAGGCAGAAATTTATTGGGAAATA